GACTGGTTACTTTGGGTGGCATCACCTCCCACAACAAACCCTGCATTGTTGTGAATTACAGCTCTGCCATAAAAAGAACCAGGATGGGAGCATTTACTCAACTAACATTGTCGCATAAGACAAACAAACCAGCATGAAACAGCTGTGGAGGATCCTGGGAACCTAATATCTATGGACACAAAAGGCAGTATGCGATGCTACACTAAAAACTTAAAGCAAAAATAGATGATGAGAGTAGCAGTGGGGGAAATGATGTTTTTATGGTTATGGCTGTACGAAGGAAGTTAGAGATTTGAAATGATATTCTTATCTGGCTAGAGAGCCTGGTGCTTGTAAGGAATTAGAATGCATAAGGAGGAAATCATTCATGAGAATTCTACCCTGTGGCATTTCTAAGCTATTTTAATACTTAGAACTTTAAAGTATTTTTTATATGAACATATTTTTACACTGGAAGTGACACATCAATATTAGGATCCTTCTCTTCAAAAAGGCTAACAGTTTATAATCCCATTGTGAAATCTCTCAATCAGAAAGAGTGGGCATTTTGTTTTAATTCATTCATTTATCATTTAGTGTGGCACTGGGTAAGAATAATTACATTGTGATTAATGACCTGAGTTTGAAACTCAAAGCATTCAAACAAGATTTTAGTAGATTTCCCAACTCCAGGAGCCCCTGAGTTATTTTATTAGACGGCGTATCACAAATGAGGGGCTGTGTAAACATTAAAAGCTACCCACTAAATCTAAATCATTTTGGTTAATATGAAAATAGATAGAAGAAGAAGGCATTATATTATCCCAGGGTAGAAATAATTTAGTAAATGATTCCTATCTCAAGGTTTTCAAGATTTACTGTGTCGGTAAGAGTTCCCTCTGGTATAAAATCGCAATGAGCAAGGTTAAGCACGAGTTCAGGGTATAGACAGTTCTCATATAATTAAAAAGCCCTCAATAAAAGAGGTCCTTCTTCTTAGGCCATTAAAGAAAAAATAAACTCTTTTTTTGCCGTATCAGAGAACATTTCAAAGTTTTCTGCTGTTGCTGTTTGAGACAGGATGGCCTTGAATTTTCTATGTTGCTCAAGCAGACCTCAACCTTGAAATCTTCTTGCGATCCTCCTTCCTCAGCCTCTGAGTGCTAGGAAGAAAGGTGTGTCCCACTCACTGTACCCAGCTCAAAGGGTACTTTTGGGAAATATGTGTAAGCATGAAAATCTTGACTTGCTGCTTGTGTTGGCCTGAGAATCTAAAAGAAGAAGCCCAGGGTGGAGAAGGCAGACCTTTGGTGTTGGGGCACAGACTGCCTCTCCTCCTGGCTGCAGCCCAGCTCTCTGGGTGAAAAGGCAGGACAGATAGAGGGGGTGAATCTTGGTTCTGCTTTTTGTGGGCCTTAGAGTTTCATGCAAATTGTTTAACCAGTTGAAGTCTCTGTTTCCTTGGCTGCTAAAATAGGTTTTAAAATGTTTACCACTTTTTGCTCCTTATTTGCATATATGTATTTTGAGTTTCTCATGTAAGAGAAACCAGGAGATATTTATGCTTGTGTGTCTGATTTATTTCACTTGACATTATGTTCTCAAGTTGCATACATTTGCCTTTAAATTCAAGTTTATCTTGTTTCTTTTTGGTACTGGGATCAAACTCGGGACCTTGTGCTTGTGAGGCAGGCGGTGGAACCACTGAGCTGAATCCCTAGCCCGAGTTTATCCTTCTTGAGGATAATGATACACCGTGATTTAACTATTATTATTCTCCTGCTATTTTGTTATGCAATTTTGTTTTATTTTCTCATAAACAATAAAATAAAATATTCACTGTCTGGGGCAGCTGGAAGGATTGGATGGGAGAAACAATCTACTGGTCCATAAATCGTTTACTGATTGACCATTCATGCCTGGGCCACCTCAGTGAGCAAGGTCAGGCTGTGGGCCCCAGGACCAAGCCAGGGACACTGCAGGGCTGAGTGGTGAGGGGAATGTGGTGTCTACGGAGCTCAGATTCCCACCAGGGATGCTGTGCCCATAACTTCCTTCCTGTCTGCCACCTCGAAGCTCCTACTATTTCCCCCACCTGTGTTGTAAGGCTGGCCTGAGGGGCACACTGAGGGTTGTGTGTGTGTGTGTGTGCACACATGTGTCTCTGAGCATGTGAATGTATTTTCAGTCATTTGCCTCCTCTCCCCTCACGAGCCAGCCCTCCTCGTCACCTCTTTTGACCTCCATTGAAAGGAGAGAGAGCTGGGCTGCGGATTTAGCTCAGGGGCAGGAACAAGGTCCTGAGTTTGACCCCCGCGGCACCAAAAAAAAAAAAAAAAAAAAAAAAAAAGAGTGAGAGCTACCAAAAAGAGACATTTCCAAGAAAGGAAGACAGTTAGATAATTGTTGTCCCTTCCTCTTTCCTCCTAAGAACACCCCCGCTCAGATTCAACCCTTTGTGAAGATTAAAAGTTTGCGGAAGAAGACAGGAAAAACTGTTTCTCACAGAAGCTGAGGAGACCCTAAGCCTGGCTCCCGAGTGCACATGCAGAGGGAGTATCCCTGCGGAGCAAGGCTGGCTGGACAGAGGAGTATTGCAGCCAGACACGGCAGTGCCCCTCCTAGGCCCTTCCAGGCTGGGGCGGAAGGGCCAGACCCGGTGGGCACACCTAGTCCCCTCTGGAGTGACCTATCCTCTGTGCAGAAAATGTGTGAGGACTGAGGCCCTCCTGAGCTTTCAAATCAGACTGCGGCCCTCTCACTTTGTTTCCCAAAAGGCAGAGCTCACCTCGCCTTCTGCTGGAGGTAGAAGCTGTTCTTACCACTCTGCCGCTTTTCTGAACGCAGACAGTGTCTCTTACAGGAGGTGCCACCCATTTTGAACTCGCTGCCACTGCAAATCTTTCAGAAGCTTGGGTGAGAAAAATCTTTCATCTGCAATTTTCCAGCGCACATGTGAAGTCAGAATTCACCCAAGGATTGAAGTGGCCCTCCAGAGACGCCATGCGCGGTGCACTCCCTGAGCTGCTCTCTGTGAGCTCCTTAGTGGGACCAAGTCAGCCTGACCTTGGGACAGTGTAAGGAGCCAGCTCACAAAACTGTTTCTACATGGTCAGTTTCTTGCTTCATGCCATTTGCCGAAAAGTTTGAACCAAAAGCAGACACTTTCTTTATTAACCTCGCTCCTTGTTTTAGCTTAATTTTTTCCTTCCTTTCAGTCTCATTTTAAAACTTCTTATTTTTTAAATTGTTTTATCTTACTAAGGTGTGCGCAACTTTACAAGATAGTCTAAATCATTTTTTTGTTATTTTTATTGTTTTCCCCAGTGATGGGGATTGAACCCAGGCCGCATGTTTGCTAGGCAAGCGCTCTGTCACTGAGTTACATGCCCCAGTCCTGGTCTAGAGCCCTTGACAAACAAAACTGGAGGCAAATAAATAAAGTAACCAAGAGACCATAGGTTCTGCTCACCAAATAATGATGTAGTGGTGATTTGGCTTTCCGCTCCAGACATGTGAATCTTCTTGGACTTTGAATACGCCAGCCTGTTTCCCACCTCAGGGCCTTTACATGTACTGTTTGCCTCTGTCTGGAATGTTCCCCACACTTTCCTCAGGCTGTCTTCTTCTTCTTCTTCTTCTTCTTCTTCATTTTTTGGTACTGGGGATTGAACTCGGGACCTTGGACTTACAAGGCAGGTGTGATGCCACTGAGCTAAATCCGAAGCCCATGTCTGCTTCTTATCCATGAGAATAGTAATGACACAGCATAAGTGGGGAGTTTAAAATAATAGTTTCACTCAGGCCTCAATCCAGGCCAATTAATTAGAGTCTTTGTGGGTGAGGTCCAGGTGCTGATACTTTTAAAAAGCTTCTCAGACAATGTGAATTTTTAGCCAGGGCTTAGAGACACAGTATTTAGTCTCAGCTTAAATGTCAGCTGCCCAGAGTAGCCCTCCATGGTCACCTACAGGATGTAGATAATGTGCCATGTAGCTCAGCCGCTTCTCTGGCTCCTTTGTAATAGTCGCCGTAATTTAGAGCTATTACATTTATGTGAATGCTTTTGATTCTATTTCTCACCCTCCCTGGGATCTGGATGCTGTAAGGACAGGGAAGACATCAATGTTGGTCTTCGGGCTTTTCACCCATGCGCAGTATCAGACACATAACAGGATTCTGAGTTGCGGGTCCCCAGCCACACCCCAGCACTGCACACTGTGTCCCAACAGACAGGAGCTCTAGAATGTCCTCTCACTTGAATGACAGTGACTTTATTCTATGGCCCAGAGGCATTTTGACCAAGACGTCACCCTGGCAGAAGCATTTACAATTACCCAGGCATTTGGGGCACTGCATGAAAGGTAGTGGTTCAGGCAATCCAGCCATCGTCTAGATAACCGCAGATGGTCTCCACACCTGGGCTGTGGAGGGACAAGACAAATAAATTTGGGTTTTCAGGCAAATAATGAAACTCTGAGGAGTCTGAAAACAACTCAGAGTCTAGTAGCTCCCTACACAGGTGCAGGGCGGCTGCTTGAGATCTCACCATGGTTGAGCTCACTCTTTCCAAATTATTATTTGGTGATTGCTAATAGAGGAAAGCCACACAAATGCCCCACCTGTTGCCTCCCCTTGCAGCTCCCATGTTCACCAAGCTGACCTGTAAGTTCCCCGGTGCTTTTCCCTAAGCTTACAGTAACCAAGACCAGTCAGTGTGGTGGGCTTTTATTTCCTTCTTCTTGATTTTACTTTCTTAAAGAATCATCTTGGTTTTTTACTCTCTGCTCCTGGAGATGTAGGTGGGGGGTTTGTTGGAGGAAAGTTGAGTATGGGGAGAGAAAGAATCCGTGGACTTAGAAGGGAGAGATAAATTAAACACAAACGCAGCCATGCAGCAAAGGTGTAATTCTGCCCCTTGGCCGGCTGGGTTTCATGTTCTTGTGGAGGGAAATGCACGTGCACCCCCCCAGCCCACACAAATGCACCCCCCCTCTACGGAGAAGCCAGCTACAGGAAACTGACTGATGTACAGGAACTTGCTAATCGCTTTTGTCACATTCGGATTATTCCTGCTGCCTCAGTCACCTCGAGCACACTAACCTGGCCGTCTCTGGTTGACTTCTCCAACGTTATGATTTCATATTTGTAGATCTTCCCATGTGAATCAGTCATAGTCTTGGACAGAAAGGTCAGTGCACTCACCACACTGAAAAGGCTTGGGCTGTTTTTGTGTTTTATCTACCTGCGCCGAGAGAACTTGACTTCCGGAGTCAGGCATTTTAGTGGCAAGACATTTTTTGGAATTTTACAACAGGTAAGATTTTTAGCTCTTTGAAAGTATTTCTTCATGGTCAGTAGGAATCTTTCTAATTGTATTTAGCTTTTACTGTGTTCCACCTATTATAAAATACAGAACCAACTTATAGAAGGAGGGGGAGTCACTCTGCTCTCTACCCGCTTCTCTAACATCTGAACAAGGCACACAGAAGTTTTTGAAAAATTAAAAATGCAATAGCTGGCTTTTTAGATGGGTTTCTAGATGTCTCCCTAGATAGTGAATGGGCTAATAATTGACTGTGATAGAGCTCAGCTCTATGGATGATTTAAAATTTAAACTTTGAATATTACCCAATGTATGATAAGTGAATTTAAATATCTTCTAATGTGTGCAGATACCAATTTTAAAAACATTCTAGTTCAGAAAAAAACAGAAGAATCAAAATGATTTAGATTTGGATCCAGAATTTCTAGCTTCCTTGTTTCACCTATTGTCAATGCTAACGTCCACTTTCTAAAAGTAGTCCACGATGTATGTGTCTTGGAATTAAATTTAGCTTTTTGAGGTGGTTTGATTTGGAGACATTCAGTAGCCTGGATTGTAACTAAGTAAAGTTTGGGAAATCAGTGTTTCATAGGTGCTTTGCTAAATTAAAGCTGCCATTGAAGCAAGCAACAAGTAGCTGATGATCACTTACTGCTTCTGAGCTGGTACTGTAGAGGATATAAGAGAAATATAAAGAAAACTCCACTTCGAAGGAACTTAGAAGCTAGTAGACGTGGTGAGCGGTGTAATTGAGGCAGCATTGTCCTATGGGAATTGGGGATTGATGGGGTGGCAGGCATTTAGGAGCTCCAAGGGTTCCAGGACAGGCATTTGTGGGAGGGAGCTGGAGTAGTCAGAAAGTTGACTGTAGCAAGGTGTGAAGTTGGACCACATCTGGAAGGGAAGGCTATTTCAGACTTGGAGCACAGTGTGGCCTTTGACAAAGGGGAGCCTGAATCAGTGGAGGTGACCTGCCTGAGGAGAAGCAACTTCGTTTCACACATTGTAGGAAATAGGATTAGAAAGTTAGGGCATGGGCAGATTAAGGGGACCTTAAATGACGGTTAAGAAGAACGGACTCTGCTCAATAGTTTTCTGGTCTTGTGCCATTGGGTTCCTCCTTATCAGCCCTCTCAGCTCTAACTGAGTTCCTTTTGAGGGGAACTTGGTGATTTTTATCTCTTCATCCTTGGGGTTGCTTTCTGCATCCCCAAGTCTGTGTGTGGCCCCTCCTTTGTCTTTTGCTGTCTTCCCTTATCACCACACATGCAGAGAAAAGCATGTGTGGCTTGCGGCACATAGAAAACCTGTGCTTCTGGTTTCTGTGTTTTAAAGAGGACCTTCAATTAATGTGGACCTATAATTAATGTGGCCTTCCTCTTGGGAGGGCGAGTTGGCTGGTGGATAAACAAGTCTGTGTGCCTCAAAAGCCGGTCTGTAATTCCCATGAAGTAGGGTTACCTCCCTTGTGGTCTGAATGCGATATTACGGACACGCTGCTGTTCTTTCTTTGGATGTTGCTTTAGGGAGTAAGCATGTCACAGTGATTCCTGGACCATGAAATATCTGAGTCCGTGTAATACAAACGTACAGAATGGGAGCCAGATTGCCTTGCACTGAATCAGTCCTTTTTTGGCTTTGGAAGTCTGAACAAGTTATTTAAATTCTTCAATGTTTAGATTTTAAAAAAATCTGTAATGACAGTCATAATAACTTAAAATACTAACCTCAGAGGGTTGCTGTAGAGATAAAAATGAGATAAAAATATATGAAGCACTTAGCCCATGCCTGGCATAAAATAAACTGTAGCTATTATGATTGCTTAAAAAATGTATTAGTACAGTTTTCAGTACATGAAGTTTACGTTGATCTTAGGGAGTAGGTACACGTACATAATAAGTCTGGATTCTTTTTTATTCTCTTCACCCTCCCACCCTTCTCCCTCCCTCCCTCCGACATTAAATCCCCTTTCCCTATTTTCATTATTGTTGTTATTTTTAGTTCGTGTTACAATATATGTTTATATTCCTTGTGGGTATGTGGTGAAGACTTGGCTATGGACAGAAATGAAGATAGCCTGATCCCTGGCTTGCGAGCAGCTACCTGCAAATTAACATTTCCAATGCTAATCCTCTTTTCAAAGGAAACTGGGGGTGGCAGAGGCTGTGTATTTCCAGCACTAAGTGTGAACTAGACACAAGAATTGGGTGGTTTATAGTGATAAGACATATTAAAAATAAAAAAAGGAAAACCAGATTTGAAGCTGATTTTTGAGGGTTTCCCATAGCAGCTTCTCAACCCCTAATGGAACTCCTTTGCGTACCTGCTGCATTATCTGTGGGGGTCTGTGGCTGCTGTTGCTTGCTGATGCTTTGAGTGGAATTAGAGGTGCTTGGAGTCACAGACAGAAAGTGATATTTCTTCCTGGGATAGTTTTACTTGTATTATTTAATTTTGGGCTACTTTGATTTTAGTACTAGCAAGGTACACTGAAGTGCATTCACATTCAGGAGTTGGAAGCATTTTGATTGCTCAGAAAGCTTCTTTGGGTTCTGGATGCTTGGGTTTCAATGAAAGCCAAGATTAAAAAGCATTTGTATCCCCTTCCACCCTCTAGATTAGAGATTCTTTTGGATTATAAAGACCCCTTTTAAAAATGCAAGCACAGCTGGTACAGTCATTATACAGGAGATTCTTAGTTATGTGTGCAGGTTACTTTGATCGAAGAGTAATAATGTCTTGTTTCTAGAGACCCCCTGAAAACATATGGGAGGAAATCTGGGGCTCTGTGTGTGGAAATGGATGGACATGAATTATGGCAGGTGTTCAGTGGAGCACGGAAGGGGCTGGATGCACAGTGAGAGCAAGGGGTGCGAGATATGGAAGGGAGGTCTGGGGGAAGGGGATGGGGCTCTCCGTGGCTCTTTGGTCATTTGATTCCAGCAGCTGCTTGAATCCCCTGAGTAACTTCTTGATGACTTGCATAAGAAATTGTCATGCTATATTCCCACATTTGACGGTTGTTCAGAGGTAATGTTAGTTTGTCTAGTTCTGGCCTGGAATAGCATTTCCTAAAGTTGGCTGGACATTAAAATCACTCAGAGAATCTTTGAGAATTAGGAATTTTCATGACTCATACCATCACCCTGGGAAGGGATCCAGGAATCTATGTGATAGAAATATAAACCCTAAGACAATTTGGAGCAGTGATTTTACAGGTAGAGACGTGGGAACCATTCATCTAGAAAGAAATCTCCTACCAGCATCTAAGATGGTAAACTGAGTAAATGCTGAGATGGGCAACTAGATCTCTCTGTTGTGATTAATATCATCACACAGGAAATACTTTATTTTGTTTTGAATCTGTTCCTTGGGGTGAGATCCTGGGAGTAGAATGCCTCAGTTAGAGGTGTGAACTTCTGTATCTCAGTCATACTTTGGTCTTAACTTGCAAATACAGGGTATTACTTCTTTAAAAACTCTTGGGGCCAGAGATTTAGCTCAGTGGCACTGTGCCTGCCTTGTAAGCTCAAGGTCCTGAGTTCGATCCCTGGTACCAAAAAACAAAACAAAAAAACCCTCTGAAGTCTCCCATGCATAGTCTATATATTATTACTTTGGGGAAGCACAAGTGAAGAAATGAGCTCTCAAGAGAGAAAGCACCAAATCATTTCCCATCTTCCTTTCCCCGTAAGATAGAACACAATGAATTACTCTTGGAAGAAATTTCCAGAGCAACTTGGAACACCCCGTGGCTTCTTACAGCAAAGTTGGAGCCTTCTTGTCTCTGTAGTCAGTTTCTCGTAAAACCGAAGCCAGCAATGACCTCTTCCCCATTTCGTAGAAAAGAAAACCAAGGAAGACAGTGAAGTAACATCCACTGTGGCTCTCACCGCTTGCCCACAGAATCACAGATGTAGTCGTCCATTCAGTTTATTGTTAGAGTAAGTAAGCGATTGAGTATTGTATACATGACCTCATGGAAAAAAAAAACTCTGTAAATGGAATGTGTGGGTGAGTAGGCAATGAGTTGACCCAGATAAGAGGCAGACAAGCACTCTATCTTTTGTGTGCATGTATGTATTATGTTTTATTCACTATTTGCATAACCTGCTGATCTAAAGGCATGGTCATTATTTGTTAAACAGGAGTAAGGTGAATTTTCACTGGGCTTCAATACAAAAAGTGCTCTTGCAAAATATCAAGTGAAATGTTTACAGTCGTGTTCTAGAACCAGCCTGCACTGCACTTTCTTGTAAGAGCAGATTGTAATATTTCCAGAAATTTTGCAAGCCACTAGATTTATTTACTTCTATTTTTCTGCATGACAAATAATAATATACTACTACTAAATAATATATATGCTACTGGATTGCCTCTTTGTTCAGTGATATCATCATGTTGGTAGCTAGAAATTGGCCATGATGTGAGTATTCATGCAACGGAACTCAGGAAACAGAGTCAGGTTTCTTAAGTTTTATTTTCTGAGAGCCTGTTGCTAAAATTTTTTTAGCATATCACTGAGGAACTGTGCGGCCTACAAAATGTGGCAATTTGCCAATAAGTAACAAGTGCCATTAAAATGTTCATACACTTTATCCATCCCATTCCATCTCTGGAAATTTATTCTAAATAAATAATTCAAAGAAGAAAGAAATGACATGCATGGACACATTCATTGTATTATCATTTATAATAGCAAAATCTGAAAATAATCTAAATGCAAAGCAATAGGGGCTCTCAAAGCATTAACTCCATGGAATATCTTACAGTGGCCAAAAGCCATAGTTATGATAGTGAGTGCCTGACTTAAACTGGGGGCACTATGTATTTTTGGTTGAAAGTTCATGTCTTTATTAATTTCTTGTCCACCTGGCCTGTAACCCATCTGTTTTAATTAGTCAGCCTTGCTGGAAGTGATGAGGCCATGGTCAGGCATCACGGTCAGAGCTCACTGACAGGTGGGGTTGGGAAATGAACCCCTCTTCGAA